CCGGGCACGTTGGGGTCGCAGGTGCTGCTGCCCCAGGAGACGATGCCCACCAGGGTCCAGGCGCCGTCCTTCTGGCACACCAGCGGGCCGCCGGAGTCGCCCTGCGGGCAGCGGGTGAGGCCAGGGGAGGGGACGCGGGGGGTCTAGGGGAGGGTCTGGGGTGCAGGGGGGCGCGGGGGCACCTACCATGCAGGAGGAGGCACCGTCGGCGCCGGCGCAGATCATCACGTCAGCGATGCGGAACCCCCAGTACTGCTTGCACTGCGTGTTGGTGAGCAGGGGCAGGGCCGCCTGCTGCAGCACCGCCGGCGTGCCCGAGGCTGCGGGCAGGGCACGGTCAGAGAGGGGACAGGGATGGGGACGGGGAGAGGGATGGGCATTGGGATGGGGATGGGAATGGGGACAGTGATGGGAACAGCAACAAGGATGGGGATGGGAATGGGGACAGCAACAAGGATGGGGATGGGAATGAGAATGCACATGGGGACGGTGATGGGAATGGCAACCAGGATGGGGACATGGATGGGGATGGGAATGGGAATGCAAATGGGGACAGTGATGGGAACAGGGACGGGGATGGGAATGGGGCAGGTGACAAGGATGGGGACGTGGTTGGGCATGGGGATTAGGATGGGATTTGGGGATGAGGATTGGGCTGGAGGATTGGCCTGGGGATGAGGACAGGGATAAGGATGGGGACAGGATGGGAATGGGGATGAAGATAGGGATGGGATGGGGCAGGGTGGTTTTTGGTGATAGGGATGGGGATAGGGCTAGAGATGAGAACAGGGATGAGGATGGGGATAGGGACAAGGATGGCGATGGGGATGAGAACAGGGATTGGGATGGGGATGACCATGGGAATATGGAGAAGGATGGGGCTGGGGATAGGATGGGGCTGGGGATATGGAGAAGGATGGGGATAGGTTGAGGCTGGGGATATGGAGAGGGAAGAGGATAGGGTGGGGTGGGGGATAGGATGGGGCTGGGGCTGGGGCCAGGAAGGTGCGTTACCGTTGGGGTCAGTCAGCCCCCAGCCAGTGGTGACACAGGTCATGCCACCCGGGAAGTCATCGGTGGACTGGGGCAGGCAGACGGGGGACACACGGGCCGACACCCTCCAGCCGGGGGGCCTCCAGCGCCCGTCATGGGGTCCCCTTTCCTGGCCGGGTGTCCACAGCTGACCAGGTGCCACCAGTCCTGACCGAGGTGTCCTCACACCCACCCGGGTGTCCCCACGCCCACCCAGGTGTTCCACACCTGACCCAGTGTCCCCACACTTGACCATGGCCCCACGTGTCCACCCAGGTGTCCCCACACCCACCCAGGTGTCCCCACACTTGACCATGAGCCCACATGTCCACCCAGGTGTTCCACAGCTGACCAGCTGCCACCACACCTGACCATGGCCCCACGAGTCCGCCCAGGTCTCCCAC